CAAGTTCCACTTCAGGCGGTAACTGAGTTTTTTCCCCACCCTCAACAACTCGAACACAGGAAGCCAACGCATAAAAAGGGCTATTAGAAAAAAGCAACGCACCTACAGAAACAAAAAAGGCAGAGATTAAAATTTAGATTAACACGAAAAAAAAAAAAAAAAACCCCGCGCTGTGATGTAATTAATTAATCGCAATTAACACGATAATGCGACACCTCTAAGTATATTATTTAATAAGGTAGAGATGGCCAAAGAGGTTGATGAAAAGTTATTTTGATAATAGATATTAGTAACAACATAAAATCAAATCAGCTGAAGATCACTCCTGGGGTTCTTCATGGATCAGTGCTTGGCCCAAAACTATTCATATTGTATGTAAATTATCTGAAAACCACATAGGTGTCCTATTTACCTGTCCTCTTCTACGTGCAAAAGCACTATTTTGGGTTCAGTTTGAGTGCAGCATTAAGATGTTCTGCTGTACTGAAGTTTGGATAACCATTACTTCAAGCATACCAGTGTTGTCGGCACAGTTGATAACAGCGCCCACTGGAAGACCCAACGAGATTCGGAACTTCGCTCCGGATGAACCCCCACGTCCTGTAAAAAGAAACATTTTGTTCAGAACACACTACAAGCAGGACTTCACAGAGTATAGATCTACCTAAAAAAAAGATGCATTTATTTTCATGTACTTGTTATTTACTTAAAAAAAGGTTGTCTCAGGGCATAACCATCCTTCAAGTGTGAAATGAAAAAATTGAAAGAAGAAAACCCATCTAGAAGATGCCAGCTAGGTTGGGTGGAAAGCTGCCATTTTCAAGAAGCGGATGGACTACACTAAGGCGCGACCGAGTCAAAACCTAAAGGTTAGCAGAGCTGTAGATTTAACACCGGCAATTCTAATACAACAGCATTAGCCCTCTGCAGCACACACAAGATCACTCATGGGGTTCTTCATGGGTCAGTGCTTGGCCCAAAACTATTCATATTGTATGTAAATTATCTGAAAACCACATAGGTGTCCTATTTACCTGTCCTCTTCTACGTGCAAAAGCACTATTTTGGGTTCAGTTTGAGTGCAGCATTAAGATGTTCTGCTGTACTGAAGTTTGGATAACCATTACTTCAAGCATACCAGTGTTGTCGGCACAGTTGATAACAGCGCCCACTGGAAGACCCAACGAGATTCGGAACTTCGCTCCGGATGAACCCCCACGTCCTGTAAAAAGAAACATTTTGTTCAGAACACACTACAAGCAGGACTTCACAGAGTATAGATCTACCTAAAAAAAAAAGATGCATTTATTTTCATGTACTTGTTATTTACTTAAAAAAAAAGGTTGAGTCTCAGGGCATAACCATCCTTCAAGTGTGAAATGAAAGAAGAAAATCCATCCATGAGATGCCAGCTAGGTTGGGTGGAAAGCTGCCATTTTCAAGAAGCGGATGGACTACACTAAGGCGCGACCGAGTCAAAACCTAAAGGTTAGCAGAGCTGTAGATTTAACACCGGCAATTCTAATACAACAGCATTAGCCCTCTGCAGCACACACAGTACAGGGGCGAAATCAACAGATTTTGCTTTGCTTGCAACCCGTGTTTAACATGTTAGCTACTTGGGGTCCAATAATAATTTCTACAAAAACAACAGGGACCTCACAGTGGTCATTGCTGCAGCCCAATTAATAATTTCTACAAAAATCATAAGTATCTGGCAACCGCCGCTGCTCGCGCCCTCATAAGACTGACTACTGAGATTACCTTAGTGATCAAACTTGAATGTCAAGAAGTACAAAAAGCCGCCGCTGCCTATTCTGAACTCTCTGCGGCCATAGAAGGTTCAAGTTGAGCGCAACGAAGCGAGATGCTAATGCTAGCCCTCGACTGGCGGTGACACTTATTCCCAATTAAGGAAAATCCTATCTATGTATGTGGTTGAAAATAAACCGGCGTTTGCTCAATTCTTAAAACTTCGTCATCAGGCTATTATTTTTTAACTTTAGTCCTTGTCGTGTGTGTTTCTGTTACCTGTTTCTGAGTGTGTTTCATATTTAAACTGAAACATTGGTCACTTTATTTAAAAAACACCATTTTCAAGAAGCGGATGGACTACACTAAGGCGCTACCGAGTCAAAACCTTAAGCTTAGCAGAGCTGTAGATTTAACACCGGCAATTCTTATACAACAGCATTAGCCCTCTGCAGCACACATAACTGAAATTTTGAGCCATGTATGAAATAGTGACATCCATATCAATTCCTCAATGTCATTGGTGATGCGCTGGGCATTGCAAGTAAAAAAAAAAGGGTGTGCAAAGCCAATAACATGTCTTTGGTAATTTTATCAAAATTGAGACAAGAAATTCTTATAATAGACAAATACACCACTAGCTTACCAGAACGGTAATCAACAGATATTGCTGTTTAAAATGGCTTTTCAGAGAATGATTACAACAACGATCGAAACTCTAAAATTCAGTCAATTATGATGAGTAAAAGAGTGACAGTAGAGGCCTACAATTACTGATGTTTTCCCATTAAAGAGTGTCTTTTTTACTATTATTTTAAATGACATTCTGAGATGCTTCGGTGGGGGCATTTGATGAACGGACACGGAATGACCAGACAGCGATACTTATTAGGAGAGGCGAGGATGAGTGAGGTAAAAGAATTCGCACCGGGCTACAAGTGAACCCGGACATGGGCAGATGCGCTCTACGCTTCCCTATACAATTTCCTGCAAGGTGTTAGCATGTGCTAGCGCAAATAATTAGCAATTTTCGAATAACGTCATTAACTTACTGTATCGACGAACACTCCTTTCACAGCATTTAGAACGGCATTAAAATTGTGTCGTCTTTCTACTTAAGCCTAAGGACGACGTTTACCGCGAGGACATACGTGCAATCATCATCGCTATACAAAGGAAGAAAAATCAAAATACCAACAGAAATAAAACTTCACAATAGCTAATAACGTTGATCAAGTACACAAAAACTGCAAAGTATCATCCGATGGCAAACTGGAAACATCTGATGGATAGAGATTGAACTACGGGTCTTTCTTACCTCTCTTCGACATGGCTGCAGTTGAAAAAGAGAGCGAGGACAGGAGGGATTGTGGGAAAAAAAAGTTTTCTTCATCCGGGTCGTGTCGGAAACCCGTGCTGCTTTCAAGAAATCGGAAACAGCAAAGACCTACTGCGGAATTTTGGTGATGTTGTCTGAACGTAACAGGTCACGACATAGTCGTAACCATAAATATTAATTATTCCAGTAGTGACGTTGTTTGTCTGTTGTTATTTTAATTAGAAACCGTGAGAAAATTCGTGTTTTTTTTTGCTATACAATCACAAATTCTCAATTGAGGCAGCATCCAAATTAAGTAGTTCTTAAGATTTAAGTATACTCGTTTACTTTATGTAATACAAAATCAGAGGTGGGTAAAATAGTCAAAAATTGTACTCAAGAACACTTCTGCTTTACAATGTTATGACACGATTAAAAGTAAAAAGTATTTCTCCAAATAATTACTCGGGAAAAGTAAGTACTCAGTGAGAAACTACTCATGTAGCGACTGAATAACTTGTGAGTAATGTGTTGTATTTGCTAAATCAACGCCGAAAATAAACAAGGAATGTGCAAATCCAGATACCGCCAGACATTCCCTTTTTGATTGAAATGTGGCGGTCACATTTATTTTTTTTTTAAATCAACAGACTGCGTTGCAACCAAAAAAAAAAAAAAAAAAAAAACGTGCTAAATGTGATGTAATTAATTAATCGCAATTAACGCGATAATGCGACACCTCTAAGTATATTATTTAATAAGGTAGAGATGGCCAAAGAGGTTGATGAAAAGTTATTTTGATAATAGATATTAGTATCTGGAGTTCAACAACATAAAATCAAATCACCTGAAGATCACTCATGGGGTTCTTCATGGGTCAGTGCTTGGCCCAAAACTATTCATATTGTATGTAAATTATCTGAAAACCACATAGGCGTCCTATTTACCTGTCCTCTTCTATGTGCGAAAGCACTATTTTGGGTTCAGTTTGAGTGCAGCATTAAGATGTTCTGCTGTACTGAAGTTTGGATAACCATTACTTCAAGCATACCAGTGTTGTCGGCACAGTTGATAACAGCGCCCACTGGAAGACCCAACGAGATTCGGAACTTCGCTCCGGATGAACCCCCACGTCCTGTAAAAAGAAACATTTTGTTCAGAACACACTACAAGCAGGACTTCACAGAGTATAGATCTACCTAAAAAAAAAAGATGCATTTATTTTCATGTACTTGTTATTTACTTAAAAAAAAAGGTTGAGTCTCAGGGCATAACCATCCTTCAAGTGTGAAATGAAAGAAGAAAATCCATCCATGAGATGCCAGCTAGGTTGGGTGGAAAGCTGCCATTTTCAAGAAGCGGATGGACTACACTAAGGCGCTACCGAGTCAAAACCTTAAGCTTAGCAGAGCTGTAGATTTAACACCGGCAATTCTAATACAACAGCATTAGCCCTCTGCAGCACACATAGTACAGGGGCGAAATCAACAGATTTTGCTTTGCTTGCAACCCGTGTTTAACATGTTAGCTACTTGGGGTCCAATAATAATTTCTACAAAAACAACAGGGACCTCACAGTGGTCATTGCTGCAGCCCAATTAATAATTTCTACAAAAATCATAAGTATCTGGCACCCGCCGCTGCTCGCGCCCTCATAAGACTGACTACTGAGATTACCTTAGTGATTAAACTTGAATGTCAAGAAGTACAAAAAGCCGCCGCTGCCTATTCTGAACTCTCTGCGGCCATAGAAGGTTCAAGTTGAGCGCAACGAAGCGAGATGCTAATGCTAGCCCTCGACTGGCGGTGACACTTATTCCCAATTAAGGAAAATCCTATCTATGCATGTGGTTGAAAATAAACCAGAGTTTGCTCAATTCTTAAAACTTAGCATCAGGCTGTTTTTTTTAACCTTAGTCCTTGTCGTATGTGTTTCTGTTACCTGTTTCTGAGTGTGTTTCATATTTAAACTGAAACATTTGTCACTTTAATAAACCAACTGAAATTTTGAGCCATGTATGAAATAGTGACATTCATACCAATTCCTCAATGTCATTGGTGATGCGCTCTGGGCATTGCAGGTAAAAAAAAAGGGTATGCAAAGCCAATAACATGCCTTTGCTAATTTTATCAAAATTGACACAAGAAATTCTTATAATAGGCAAATACACCTCTAGCTTGCCAGAACGACAATCAACAGATATTGCTGTTTAAAATGGCCTTTCAGAGAGTGATTACAACAACGATCAAAACGCTAAAATTCAGTCAATTATGATGAGTAAAAGAGTGACAGTAGAGGCCTACAATTACTGATGTTTTCCCATTAAAAAGTGTCTTTTTTACTATTATTTTAAATGACATTCTGAGATGCTTCGGTGGGGGCATTTGATGAAGGGACACGGAATGACCAGACAGCGATACTTATTAGGAGAGGCGAGGATGAGTGAAGTAAAAGAATTCGCACCGGGCTACAAGTGAACCCGGACATGGGCAGATGCGCTCTACGCTTCCCTATACAATTTCCTGCAAGGTGTTAGCATGTGCTAGCGCAAATAATTAGCAATTTTCGAATAACGTCATTAACTTACTGTATCGACGAACACTCCTTTCACAGCATTTAGAACGGCATTACAAATGTTTCGTCTTTCTACTTAAGCCTAAGGACGATGTTTACCGCGAGGACATACGTGCAATCATCATTACAAGTACTCAACACTGAACTTGCTTCAGATAATAGACAATAAATAAAGCAGACCCTTAAATCACAGTGCTGTAAGTTCGCACTTCAGAAATAACACTGTTCATCATGACAAACTAAAAGAGCTGAAATAAACATCAATCACTTCTAGTAGTCTACAGAGGACACATCAACTATGCCTCGTACGTGGGATGTTCA